ATCGCACAGCAGAGAGTGGGATCAACCAAGCCAGCCCAGACGAGACCGCCCCTCATCTTCTCACCTAATTCCACACAGACCTCGTCCTCCCTCAGGCAATCCATCTAGTGCCAGACTGCACTGCTACTTTTACTCAGTAAAATTGCAAGAAAGGGGTGTAGCTCACCCTTCAAAAATATCTGTTACTATAGCAATATCTAACCACATTTGAAAAATATTTTATTACAAACATTGTATACAAAGTAAGTTATAAATACAGCTTTTGTAAAGCAATAAATTGCTTTTGGCAATCAAACAAGACAGTAAGAGACTGGCACTTAGTACAACTGTTACATTTGTGACAAAAACTTCATGCAAATATCAAGACATGACATGAATTCCTGTATACACCTTAGGAAAAAAAAAGTTGGGTTTTTTTGTGTGGGAAACAATTACTCTGTATTTCTCTCAGGGGAACATCAGTTACTAGCAACAGGTAAAACCACCAAATTGTACAGTTATCTTTTAAAAGCAGGAATTTTTTGTTTGCTTAAACCAAAGCCACGTTCAGAAGCACGCAGAACACCCTCAATGTTCTGACATAAAGAACACCAATCCAAAAGTCTTCCTTCTTGTCAAATGCCAGACATAAAACTACATTAAAAAAAGCGTGCCTGCTGTCATATTACATAGAATTCTATTTTTTGTTTTCCAGTTTCAAAATATAACCTTCATGACTAACCAGCTAGTTTGCATTTACTGCAGTTATTTTAAACAAAGGGAGGCCTTTTTATTGATGGATGAAGAGATATCCAATTGAGAAAGAAATACCAAAGACAGAACAATCAAAGGAATACAAATACACATAAGTGCATATGCAGGGGAATTGGCATAAAAAAAAAAGAAAATTTTAAAAAAGTGGGTTCTAAGCCATGTTGAAAATGTTGCATCATTTATTTTGAAATTGATACTGTTTCAGTCCAAAAATTGCTAGCAAAAGCTAGCAAGAAGTTGAAGTCCATGAATAACATAATGCTAAGGTTCTGACCCTACACACCAGAAATGGTCATTCTTACCTTTCCACCAACACAGAAAAAGAATCAGAGCTTGTTTGTCTTTGAAAATAACTTGGAGGTGTGAAACTTTGCAGTGGCCAGAATACCTTTTACTTCACAAGGTCTGTCTCTTAACAGCCTGTAACCTCTGGAATTAAGAATTAGTATTTAGACTAGCACAAGTTACATGGTAATACAGTGATTTGTTACTTAAAGGGCTGTGTAGAAAACATACAATTTAAATATTTATCCCTTAAGAAACAAGTAGTACCACTGCATACAGCTCTCATTCATATCCAATAAAAAGTGCCATCAATTTCTCACGTAAATTCCATTTCATGGAATTATTGGAGGAGGTAATGATGTATTTACATAATGTTGTTACACAGCTAACTTTAATTTCTTCTTCTTAGCTTTCATGACAGGTGGCAATGAAATTTTGAAAGCAGTCCTGAAACAAAATGCAAAAGGAACTGTCAGACACACTGGACATATTTCCACACCCACCCCCAAAACAAGAAGAAGAAACACTTACTCGCATGTACTACAAATAGGACTGAAGTTGCAGAATACTGGAAAATAAAAGAATTGGCTTTCACTAAAACAATTCATTTGAATGTAAATCAGACTCTTAAATATTTATAAACTTACTTGACAAGCACACAGAGCACACGTAACCAATTTCAATAAGATTTCGATGACAGAAGCATGCAGCTCTGTAGTCAACGTGAATAGGAGGTGGAAGGACAAGCTGTGATCTTTGCTCTTGATCAGGGAGAAACACCCACTGCAGGAATACAGAAAAAATATTTTGCAAATTGGAACTGCTGTATTACCTTGTCAATGAAGTCAGTGAGATTTTTACATGGCTTACCAACAGATATTGCAGAAGGGATGGCATGTGGGGCACTTTCAAATATATGCCACCTGTAATGTCACAAGCCTGGAAAGCAGAGAGCATGATCAGATTGTTATGTTCTATGAGATTAACAGGATATTTAAAATATCCACATACTGCACAAGGCCTGCATGTTGGAAGTGTCAGACGCACTGAACTTTTTTCCACAACCACTCTTGAAACAAAGGAAAGAGGAAAGCTTTAGAATATGTCAAACTATCTAGCATCAAGTATCAACAAATAATTGTAAAGAGCAAATAAGAATAGGAAGTCTGTACCTGTTGTAGAAGACCTGAATCAGAGTCCAGGACACAGGCATCAATCAAAATACTCTGCAAGAGATGAAAAACAAAAAATTCAGCTAGGACCAATGTAGCCTCATCAGTGTTACTGTCACAACCTGTTTCCCCTATAAATGCACTCCAGATATAAACGCACATGTTTTTACTGCTGCAGGATCACCACAGCCAGTGGGAAGCTCTTTCCC